TTTAAAACTTTACGAAATGTTTTTAATATTTTTGGAGTTTAAAAATTAACAGCTGTGTTTCTTTAGTTAAAACTTTCAAAAAAGTTAATGCGTTTTTACTACGTCAAGGGCAATAACTCTGAAACCGTCCGTCCGATTATAACTAATTTCGAACTTGACTGAGATCTGATCAATACATACATGCATACCAAGTTTCATCAAGATCAGATAAAAACTAGTCTCTATAGTGCCTACAAGCCAAATTTGACACGTTTTTACCAATCAAGGGCAACAACTCTGAAACCGTCCATCCGATTATTACTAATTTCGAACTTGACCGAGATCTCATCAATACATACATGCATACCAAGTTTCATCAAGATAAGATAACAACTATAGCCTCTACCGCGCCTACAAGGCAAATTTGACTTATTTTTTCTAAGTCAAGGGGAACACTTCATTCGATTATTTTCAATTCCGAACTCGACCGTGATCTCATCAATATATACATGCAACAAATATATCAAGTTTCATCAAGATCTGATAAAAACTGTGGCCTCTATTGTGCCTACAAGAAATGTGGATGGGCCGACGGACAGGGGCGTATAAAAACTGTTCTTCGAAAATCTGTCAAATTTGAACTTGTTGAAGATGTTACCTGACCACACTCAGTTTCAAAAAAATGCTTCTATTGTTTCAACCTGTTCGGATTTGATTATCTAATCAAAGATTATATCATAATCAAATCTATTGTGCTCACCCAACAAATTTTGACGGATTTAACCAGGTCAAGAGCAATAACTCTAAAACTGTTCGTCAAAATGCTACTTCAGTGGCTCAGTAATAATAGCCTAATACTACCAGTGTCCCAGTAATTAAAGCTTAGTACTACCAGTGGCCCAGTATTTATAGCCTAGTACTACCAGTGGCCCAGTAAAAATAGCCTTATATTACTACCAGTGGCCCAGTAATTATAGCCTAGTACTACCACTGGCCCAGTAAAAATAGCCTAGTACTACCACTGGCCCAGTAAAAACAGCCTAGTACTACCACTGGCCCAGTAAAACAGCCTAGTACTACCACTGGCCCGGTATAAATAGTCTAGTACTACCACTGACCCAGTAAAAACAGCCTAGTACTACCACTGGCCCAGTAAAAACAGCCTAGTACTACCACTGACCCGGTAAAAATAGTCTAGTACTACCACTGGCCCAGTAAAAACAGCCTAGTACTACCACTGGCCCAGTAAAACAGCCTAGTACTACCACTGGCCCGGTATAAATAGTCTAGTACTACCACTGACCCAGTAAAAACAGCCTAGTACTACCACTGGCCCAGTAAAACAGCCTAGTACTACCACTGACCCGGTAAAAATAGTCTAGTACTACCACTGGCCCAGTAAAAACAGCCTAGTACTACCACTGGCTCAGTAAAAACAGCCTAGTACTACCACTGGCCCAGTAAAAACCGCCTAGTACTACCACTAGCCCAGTAAAAATAGCCTAGTACTACCACTGGCCCGGTAAAAATAGCCTAGTACTACCACTGGCCCGGTAAAAATAGCCTAGTACTACCACTGGCCCAGTAAAAATAGCTGTCATCATAATCATGACCTTCAAATATATTTGACATGTATTTGGAGAAATGTTTTGCAAGATTTGTTATTGGACATTTGTATTTGGACATTTGTTGGCTGAGTTTTCTGTTTGAAGAAATGCACTTGAAGATATGTTGAAATTTTTATTAAATTGATATAGTTGAAGATATTTTTGGCAAGTTTTACCACATAAATCGATGAGAAAGCCAGTGATTCTCGAACAATGATAATTTTAAGCGTAAATTTTGATTTCCTTATACAAATGTCGATTAAAATGACAAATATTGAATTTAGCATACAAATAAAGAGACAATAATTTACAATTAAGAAGAACATTCACATTTGGCTTGTGCTCACTCTACAGGCAACAATATTTATGAATTTTTTTTTATTTTGTGGGTCAAAGTCATTATATACATGATCCCTATCTATTTTCGTGATGGTCTGATAATTTTTCACTTAAATTTCATGTCTGACTTATTGAATGACAAATGTTGAATTAAGCACACAAAATAAGAGACAATAATTCAAGAATTAAGAAATAGTAACGAAGAACATTTACATTAGGCTTGTGCTCACTCTACGAGCTACAATTCTTTACAGATTCTTCTGGTTTTATGTTGTAGGTGAATGTCATTATGAAGATGATCCCTATTTATTTTCGTGATGATCTGATAATTTTTGATCGAAATGTCGTTTCACTCTATTAGCTATATAGTGCAACTTTTGGTCAAAGCTCTTTATGGATTCTTTTAATGTTTAATGATGTGATCCAATTAAGTTGGCTTAAAACTCTCTATAGACTAAACACGAGCCACATATGTCACCTTGCTTTGCTAGAATATCTTTATCATAAATAAGGATATTTAGCGCACTGATTTGCACAGATATATTACAACACTTCCATTCCGTTTAAACTAAGCAATATAAGACGTAGTAAAGAGTTATATAAGGCAACGGTGAAGCAAAATGAATGAATCGGAATCTTTTAAATAGTCTTGTGATATATAATAGTTACGAATTCTCTTGCGGGAGATGCGTCATTTCTGGTTAACTCTCTCTGAATTGCAGGAACAACAGACATTGGACAAAGAATGGGAATGTCCCAAATAGAAGTCGAAGGTATCCCAAATATAGTAATGGTGCTACCCATTCTTGGCCTTTGACAGCACTATAATTGTTAGCCTTTGTTAGCTGCTGCGATCAGTGGATTATTACTAACGTGTTATTCTTTGTTAGCTGTTGGTAGATAACATGTACCTCTGGAGGCGGAAAGCTATTAATAACTTTTTGATAAGATAAGCTAACAATAAGTGAATCGTGTGGTGCAATGTATTATTATTAAATGTTTTATTTTTTCAGATATAAAGGAGGATTTATAAGATGTAATTTGACCAAAACAGAAAAACCAAAAGCAATCTCCATTGTTCTACATTCCCAAATCAAAAAGAACAGAAATTTTACGCCAAAAATTAAACTAACAGTTCAATATCCGTCAAAATTTTTGAGAAATTTTACACGTTGTGTTCCAGCTTTTTATAATTTCACAGATCAAAATGCCTTGATACAAATGTTAGAGAGTGACTTAATGTTTGGGATGAATCATTTTATAATGTATAATTATACTGGAATGACACCTAAAATACAACAAATTCTCAAATCATATCAAGATGAAGGTGTTCTCACACTGCTCCAGTGGAATTTACCTGTGCTTAAAAAAGATATTCATTATTTTGGACAAATGTCTAATATGCATGAATGCATTTTGCGCAATATGTACGTTTCTAAGTATGTATTTATAGCCGATGTAGACGAAATCGTTGTAAGTGATATGTTTTCTTCATGGCAATCAATGACTTCCTCTATCCTTAGTAAACATCCTAATTGTGGCGCCATATCGTTTAGAAATGCTTTCTTCCCAATTATCTTCAAAGATGGTGCAGTAGATTTCCCTGGTAAAACAATTGCTCGAAAGATGGGTTTAACATTTTTGTTGAAAACCACTCGTACCAAACTGCATACTATAGGAGATCGTTCCAAACTGTTAGTTCGACCAGAAACAATACACCAGATGGGGATACATGGTGTCCAGAAGTTTTTAAATTCCAAAATGACAACATGTCCTGTGAACAATCCCAAGGATGCTTTGCTTCATCATTACAGATTCAAGAAGGCATCGGATATGCGGTCTCCATATACTGATGATCACACGTTCCAAAAATACAGTAATGAACTAATTTCAAGAGTTCAAAAAAGATTTCAGAAGATTAAAACTACATCTGTAACTTAAGATGTTGTTATATTCCAATTTTTATTTAAACAACAAATCATAAATATGTCGACAGAGAAATTTATTAATGATAACGGCCCAATAACAATGGTCTATTATTATTAGTGGTCCAGTAAAATAGCCTAGTAGTCCAACTACCCATTGTCCAGTTACAATAGCCTAGTGCTTCCATTGTTTCAGTTACATAGCCTAGTACTACCTGCGGTCTAGTTACAATAGCCTAGCACTTCCAGTGTTCAAGTTAGAAAGCCTAGTACTACTTGCGGTATAACAGTGTCAATAGCCAGGTACTTTCAGTGGCCCAGTACCAATAGCCAAGTCTCGTTCTTTTTTGGGAAAAACCTTTAATGTGGTACTGATCTTTTTTATTCGTTTAGACATGTTCTTCTACTTACATCGTGTGTTCATTTTTTTCAAGTACTATGAAATCTTGAGTTTTTATTTTTTTATTACAAAATTCCAGTAAAAATATAAACACAATTGTATGTAAATTAATTCATTTGTCTTATCCAAAATGTGTAAGATAAGTGATAGTCCTTAAGTCCATGTTTGATCTGGGCCTGCACATGTATTTTTATTATTATGGCTTGCACCTATTCTAATTGCATTTGTCTTAGATATGTTTTGCCTTTTTGTAGCAATTTATAAGTTCAGTCTCGGACAATATTAGTATCAGCTGCATATTGTATAATTTTACACCAAATGCCAAATTTAAGTTCTTAACAGGACCCCCAATATTTCCACGCAATGTCGAACGATATAAGGGCGGAGTTTGTCCCCCAGTCTACAGCCACGTTCGATCGTAAAAAAAATTGGTTAACTAATTATTTTGACCAACACAAGGCATAGCTTTATAATTTGATCTTTTATTGCACTGATAATTTTTTAAAAATTCTATATATGGCCTTAAATATATAAAAACCCCTATTACAAAGAATCAAGCGCTTTCAAATAATCTACAGCCAATATAGTGCCCTCTAAATTATTATAAATTTTACAACATAGTCTACACTGTACAAAAAGTCCGTTTTTTACAGAAATTTACTTTGTATTTTCTGTTGATATACGTAAATTCTTGCTGATATACATACTTTTCTGTTGACTTAAGGGCTCATACATTGACAGAATGTTAGTTCCGCAGTAACGAAATATGTTATTTTACGTAAAATAATCTTGGTCGTTGTGTCATTTAATAACAATTACGTTATTTGTCAGTAAATTTCCGTAAATTTTGTGTTATTATCATGTATGGCCAAACTTGTTTGTAAATAAGCGAAAGTATGCGTGGGCATACTATTTTTTTTGACAGGAACGTTATTATGTTTCCTTACGGAAAATAATAACAGGATCGCTGTTAATTTACGGAAAATATGATTTTGATCTGTAATTTGAATCACAATAAATCGTCAACCGTAATTTGGTCACAAAATATTCGTCCACGGTTATATTTTGTTCACAGTAGGTAGGCTATTCGTACGAGGTAAATTGGTCCAACCCACACCCATCACCATGCAGAAAATCAGCAATAACAATTAATGGAAAGTGCATGACAGGTTCAAAATTGGGTCCGCGAACTCTGGAAATCTTTTATACGCATACAAATCACACAGGATGATGCCGTGTATAGACCTTATTCACGCGTCGGATATAAATAATTATATGATACTAATTGAATCCAGAACCAGACTCATTACGCAAACCTTGGAAAACCTCCTACTCAAAACCCACTTCCTCGAAACTAATCATATTTTACATCATTAGATTTGGAATTAATGAAGGAATTTGACTTTCGAGAAGGTGGTCAGTGTTACGTGACAATTTCTTGCTCAGTCAAACACACTTAGGGATCAAATTTGATGTAGAATTTTCCTTTTTTCCTATTAAATACAGTTATTTATTGTAAAAAAAAAATTATTTGGTTCTACCACCTGATAGTAACGACAACTTTCACCACTCGGAAGTTTATACTACAATTAGTCGTAAACTTATTATAATTTTGACCTTACGATTTTTTGAGAAACGCCATTTTTACGATCAAATCAACACTTGCGACCCACGACTGATCATAAGATTTTTTGAGAAGCGGAGCCCTGGAAACCTTTTGCTTTGTAAGAGTAATTAAAAATAAAGACATGTATAATTTTGATCAATTTATGACGAACTGGATAATTTGAGAAATTCTACTAACGATATTGGATGTTCACACAATTTCAAAAGGGGATAATATTTTCAACAACGATACTCTACTAGACCTACTGTATTGAAACGTCGTCTGCAATATGTTACCCCACGAACACCTGGCTGGATGTGACGCTAGTTGTAGAATGTGTCTATGAAATAAATCAAAGGAATGACATGGCAGGCATGTGTTCTCATCATTGGCAGATGCCATAATATGGCATATATATTATAAACATTGGATTTGACTGGTGGCTCATCCTCATTAACTTTAGAAAGCCAAAGTATTTCCATACTTTGGATTTTGTTTTGTCCCCTGGATGCATGGGCGCAGATCCTATGTCCCCCGCCCCCACAAATAGTCAAGCTTGGTTGAGTAGAATGTTTGTAATGGACGTAAAACATACACAATTTGGAATCCGAGAACATCAAACAATTTATGGTCGAGAGACAGGAAGACCATTCGTTCGTTTTGGGACCCATCTCCACTCACAGAAGTGTCGTTACAAATGGGGACAGGTAGCGAATTTTATCGTTCGCATATTTTCGTCGATCATATCAAGTGATCAGTACAAATGGAGGACCGCCACTGCGAGGACTTGCCTTGACATTTGATTGGTTGAAAGGCCTCGGCCGCCCTATAGATCACCTAGGTGGAAATTGAAGTTTTTAATTCAAAATTAATTTTCTCCTAGGTCGTGGGCACCCGTTCGATGACTGGAAAATTCAGTAACATGCAAGAAGGTGCCCTTCTTTCTATAATATTTCTGAGAGTTACAAAGAATAAAGATACGGTGTCACCAGCTCATCTGAAACGTTCTCATGCCGCTATACTCTGCAATCGAATTCATACCTACGGTCCGACCCCTTTGGAATTAATCCTGCGTATGCCACTGAACTTGATTTTATGCAAGAGATTGTTTTTATACGACCACATTTTCAGTTGTATGTATAATTAAAGGTGTAGTTAACATCATTTGCTCTGATTATTTTAAATGCACAAATAATATCAATAAACAAATAAAGTAAAAAAGTTTTGTCATTTTACAGAAAACAGATTTATTACCAGAATATACTTTTTAAAATTCTTTATTTCAGTGTATATTAAATCAATAAAAAAGATAGCTTGCCAGGCAAGGTAATATACGCCCACTTTGACAAATATTTAGCAGTATGAAACCACCAGTATGAAATATTCAACCTTCAGTCATACACTTCTTCTGAACTCTTTAGGGCGATACTGAATAATATTGAGTATGAGATATTGCCCTTGTTCTTGAAAACGTGTACAATTTTTAGCTCGTGAAAACTCTAGAAGGCAAATATTCAATCTTCAGCGCGAGACTGAATAATAAAACCAAGTTTTGTCAAAATCCAATATTTAGTTGAAACCTTTAAAATACCTAGAGAATATTTCTCTACAATTAGGCGTTTATTTTACTCAAATCCGTACAGTAATTTTCTAATAGCTTCCTAAAAGTATAACTAATTTAAAAACTTTACGAAATGTTTTTAAATATTTTTGGAGTTTAAAAATTAACAGCTGTGTTTCTTTAGTTAAAACTTTCAAAAAAGTTAATGCGTTTTTACTACGTCAAGGGCAATAACTCTGAAACCGTCCGTCCGATTATAACTAATTTCGAACTTGACTGAGATCTGATCAATACATACATGCATACCAAGTTTCATCAAGATCAGATAAAAACTAGTCTCTATAGTGCCTACAAGCCAAATTTGACACGTTTTTACCAATCAAGGGCAACAACTCTGAAACCGTCCATCCGATTATTACTAATTTCGAACTTGACCGAGATCTCATCAATACATACATGCATACCAAGTTTCATCAAGATAAGATAACAACTATAGCCTCTACCGCGCCTACAAGGCAAATTTGACTTATTTTTTCTAAGTCAAGGGGAACACTTCATTCGATTATTTTCAATTCCGAACTCGACCGTGATCTCATCAATTATACATGCAACAAATATATCAAGTTTCATCAAGATCTGATAAAAACTGTGGCCTCTATTGTGCCTACAAGAAATGTGGATGGGCCGACGGACAGGGGCGTATAAAAACTGTTCTTCGAAAATCTGTCAAATTTGAACTTGTTGAAGATGTTACCTGACCACACTCAGTTTCAAAAAAATGCTTCTATTGTTTCAACCTGTTCGGATTTGATTATCTAATCAAAGATTATATCATAATCAAATCTATTGTGCTCACCCAACAAATTTTGACGGATTTAACCAGGTCAAGAGCAATAACTCTAAAACTGTTCGTCAAAATAAAATTTGTCCACGATCAAAATAAAAACTGTTATAGTTACTCTTGTGCTCCCAAGAAATATCGGTTGACATGACTGACATTTGCACCTTTTCAATATCAGACGTTTGTGGTTCTTGCAATTCTAAAGATAGCTTGCCAGGCAAAGTAGCATACGCCCACTACTACCAGTGTCAGAATTGACAACAAATTTAGTGGCTTCATGATGAATTTTCGAATAATCTTTAAAATATATATAAGTCAAGGCAAAGCAAGGTCTAATCGACGTAAACACAAGGACTATAACTTTTAAGCCGTTCATCCTATTGTTACCAAACTCGATTGTGATCTCATCGATATATATACATGCATAAGAAGTTTCATCAAGATAAGATAAAAACCGTATTTTCTATCATTTGACGCATTTTCATTAAGTCAATGGAAATAACTCCCAAGCCGTTCATTCGATTGTTACCAACTTTGAACTAGATCTTAGGTTGCTGGTTATTGGGAAATAGTCTACGTGATAGTGGAATATATTCCAGATGCTTGTGAGAGTCCAATAGCAATTTAAGTGTATTGTTGTAATTATACAGTCTTGCATTAATTGTATCACAATTACAAGGTTAAATGCCTAAAGAGTTCAAAGACAAAGAGCTGATCGGTCGAGATAACTTTCTCATCCAAAAATTACAGCTATCCGCTACTTTCTAGAAACTACCTTATTCTCCACATATCAAACACCCTGCCCCGGGGTCACAAAAATTTCTTAAGTACAATTTTTTCTCAAATCATGAAATTTACTCTAGTAAATTTACTGAGTAAAATCGGAGACCACATTCTTAAGTCATATTTCATACCCAACTTAAGTATTTCTTTGAGATAGGTAGAGGGGAGACTTAAGTAAATTTTGAAGAATAAAAATGGCTTTTTTTTACTGCCTTGAACACATAAAGGCAATAAATAAAGATTTTAGGCATTTGAAAATCACTATTGACATTAAGACATTGTGACTTTTTGACACAGCTACAAGAAAATAAAGAATAACACAGTCTACTTGTACAATTGTGGGAATTCAACAAAATAAAAAAAATCAATAGAGAAATCAATTCAAAAAAATAGGAGATAAATGAATGAACAAAAAAAAAAAAAAAAAAAAACAGAAACATTTTTGAAAACTTAATCTATTTCCTAATGAGAACGGTGGGTTAAAATTAGAGCCTATATATATATGTTTATATAGGCTCTGCTAAAATGGAAGCACAAACTCTCTTTCTGATGGCGGTCATGTTCTAATCGGTTTTCTAATCGACGTATTTGTTTCAACTCTCAAATATGATTTGATTATGACATAATCTTTGATTAGATAATCAAATCCGAACAGGTTGAAACAAATACGCTCATAGATATCTTATAATAATAATAGAAGATATCTATGGTTTCGCATCAGTTAAAGGGAGCTAACTGCGACAAATAACCTTTATCGTTTAGACCAAGGCTCTTTAACAATTGAAGGATATGATTACTCTCATCATCAATATCAACCCTTTCTGCAACAGCTTCAAATGGGAGAAACAACCTCTTTAATCATCTCACTGAATCCAGCATTTATCATGAAATAAAACATTGTTTCAATATTTTGAAATGAAAACAAGAGGTCTTTGATAATATTTCCTAGAAAAATAAATAACATCTCTCAACAAATTTATTCCTGTTTATATGGTTCTGGTTTTACATTTGACTCAACCTTTTTTCAATCATCTTATCCTGTTTAATATTAATAATTACACCTACATAATAACTTTGAAGCTATCCCATGTACAAGTAAAATTCCGGAAAAACAAAAAACTGCAATGCCCATAGAATAGAGGCCTAAATATATCATATAATTGTATCGGCACAATGATACGTAACAAGGTATCCGAAGCGTGATGCGACACAATCAGGTGTGACGATATATTTCGTTTTCTATGATTTTTATTTACGTTCGTGTACGAAAATGTACGATAGTCTCGACGGGCGACGGATGTTTACATGGTGGCGTGGGCCGACGGGTCTTAAAGAAACAATTGGAAATACCTGCAAGCTATAGATACAGTGGTGTAACCTATTTTCGTGGATATAAGGATTCAATGTTTCCTCAGATATTCTACAAAATAATTAAAATTTGTTTGCTTCGATTTTCTTTATGAAACCTTCACTTTGACCAATATTTCATGAGCAACCAACTCGGCAACGGCGGCAGAATGCGTCACCTATTTTCGTGTACAATGTTTGATCTATAAATAAGTCTAGAAAAACACGTTGTATGGATACCGGGTGGTATAATTAACTTCTCTTAGTATTTATCTTTGATATCAATTCATTATAACTCTGTGACAGTTCCTTCAAAGACCCACGATTTAAAAAAAAAATAGTGACTGACAAAATAAGATACGTAGCGTAATTTATTGCCAAAAGTCACTGAAACAACATAAGAATATGGTCCACTTTGCGTTCCATAGGAATTTTCTGCTGACATGGAATCCGCTAGTTGATCACGTGACTTCATTCGTTGGACTACATTCTAGCAGACGACACTTGGAATTCCCATTACCTTGGGATGATAAGGAAATTCGGCCGATAAAAAATGGTGACGTTTGGTAATGACTGAAATCCGCCATTTTGTATTTGTCAAAGTATACATAATACATTTTACCTTGCTTGAAACTACTGGATTCAATCTACTAGCTGCTATTGTACAGAAAACCCATGTTTATCAAAACAAACTAATGCGAAGGTCGCGCAAGGTCGCTCATGTAAATTATTAAACATTTCCGGAAATCCACGAATAATAGGTTTCCACGAAATTAGGTTACTTGACTATGTAAAAACACTTACTTCTCAGTCACAAACTAGTTTGTCTGCTAGCTATAGATACAAATTGGCAGCTATGTAAAAACACTTACTTCTCTGTCTGTCTGTCTTTATGCTTACTTGAGATCATAACTTGTCTCCACTAAAAATTAAAGATATAACTGTTGCACCATCACTTGACATACCGGTAATTGTTTTCCTACTTATATTTTGTTAATCAGAAGTGGGCGGTGCTTAAAATTGTTACCTAAAATAGACATGACGCAGAAATTTAAACTGTGAGAGTTATCTTTTCATGAAGACTCGTTCATCAAGAACCTGTTATAAAGGGAGATCATCCCGACATTGACAACTTAAGGAAACTTCGTGGGGAAAACATCTACCCCAAGTTTGTTATCATTCTACAATGGTTAAAATATTTTGTAATTTACATATATTGTTAACTCTAATTATATTTTAGTATTGGGCACTAAAAGTGAGCATCCAAATATGACAACCGTAGATTCTGTGCCAGTTCTATGGCGTGTACTTTCTGCACTTTTTTATGGAGTGGCTTCATTTCTGATAACTGTGATAAACAAAGTTGTGCTGACTACTTACAAGTAAGTATCAATTTACTAATATTCCCAATTCAAAATTCATCGATCTTATACTGTCAAACTATGAAATGACAAATATAATGAGCAGTGACTAAGTGAAAGTCTTTGGTTGTCTTTGACTTAATTAGGCTAGGTTAAACTTTAACTTAAAGCGAATATTAATAGGCCTACCAATCAATGAAAGAATTATTATTTAGAAATATTGTCCTTCAGTTTTTGGAGAAATTGTCTGGGACAGAATGTGTTGATCAAATGTAACATTTCCAAACTGTAGCCTTATATTTCTATATAGACTCAAAGGCAAAAGCCAAAAGCATTCAAAGACAAATAATAACATGCAATTGAAAAAGGCTTATCTATTCGTAAAATGTGAGATATTATCAGTTCTGGTCTCATTGTATTCACAGAATATTTTAAATCTTTTTTATCTTTTATCAATAAATCTAAAAATTTGTTGACTAATGGATCTAGTAGGCTAATAGTAAATATGTACCGTAGTAAAAGCTCAGGATAGGCTACAACATTGTATTCCTGCAAAAATGATTAATCTCAAATTTCTGATTAGAATATATAGTTTGCTATACAGTCAATTTGTGGTTCAATAAAAATAATACTGTCTATCTCATTTGGCTGTCATAGATTTTTTTGTTTTATATTTTGAAACAAACTAAAATTTATTAAAGCTTGAATACTAGTTGCAACAGTTGGTATTGATTGAAGATATTCTTAGTCAAATCTGCCAGAATGATATATGATAGATTTATTTTTATTCTTTTAGAATATTAGACTATTTAGATTTTATGAATGGATGACATAAATACTACAATAAATGAAAAGGATGACTACCATAATAGTTTTCGTCCTCCAAGATGTGTCATATTGAATATTTTGACCTAGCAATATTTAAAAATAAAAAATAATGAGTGTATTATAATATGATTGGCTAAAATTGCTCTGTTTCTGCTTCAAGTATTTATGTTATGTGAGCAATAAAAACAATCATTCTCTGGTAAGGTTAACTGGTGCCCTGGACCTGACATGACAAATATATGGGGTTCTCCTTTAAAGTAACACACAATACATTTTAAATGACTTTTTAGTGTAAGGACCTTTAAAAGGCATTCCTAGAGCTAATTCATTGCTTCTATTTGTATAATTACAATTTTGCATTGGATGTCTGTGTGTCCTGTAATTATTATCTTTGACTAGTTATAATCTTTAATTTCAGATTTCCATCCTTTCAATTTCTGGGTTTTGGTCAGGTAAGTTTTAAACATTGAAATTTTTATATTTTTTATTTATAAATTCACACCTGAAATCATCAATGATTTTCAAAATTTACAAATTAGGCTGTTAAGTTTAAAATTTCATCCAGAAATGATCGAATTTGAACTGATACTAAATCTTTGGGAATTTTATTTTTCGCAAATTTGCTCATGCTTACTTGGCATGCGAAAAGACACGGAAGTGTAATTTTGGTACCGTACCTGTCCTAGGATTAAGACAGTTTGTAAAAGATGATAGTAAGTTGTTTTACCTGTTTTAAATTATTATTATAGATGTTGTCTGGTGTAGTTGTGTTATTTATTGTTAAAAACATGGGTATTATTCAGTTCCCTGACTTAAATAAAGATACTATTAAAAAGGTATGATAATATTTATATGATATAATTATGTTCATTTGTACATTTCATTCTACCTTAAGGGAACTATTTTTAAGTTTTAGTTTTTAATCATTTTTGAAACATAAACCTTCTCAGCTTCAGAATTATTGTAAAACATTACTTTTCACAATTCTTTTTCTTGCCGAAACTTAAGTTGTCAAATTATCTGCTCACACCCGCTTCACTCCTGTCTAACTACTTAAAACAAAAAAAAGGGAAACTATGAAATATCTTTATTGATGAGACTGATTTTGATTTTGATTTTTTGGGGTTATTGCTCTTGATTAAAAACCTGTCAAATCAGCTCAGATCACTAATGATACAAGAGATACTATACGCCTCCCTGAATAACACAAAGAAGCCAGAAAGTCTCTTTTAAAACCCATTAACAAGTTGTGACTTTATATTTTGTATATTTTAGGTATGGCCTTTACCTTTAATGTATTTCACAAATTTAGTCACTGGACTTGGAGGAACTAAGAAACTCAAGTAAGAGTCTTTTCATTCTAAGGCATAGTGAGTTTTGGGAAGGTCAATCCTGTCAGAGGTCGAGATTGCCATAGACTTTGCATGTTAAAGATCCCTCGACAGTTGGAAATCGAAAAAGAGCAGACTAGTGTCCTGGCAATGCTCCCTCATTGCACCCTACATGGTGTGCATGTCTTCATTAGCCCTCATGGTGTAGAAAAGTAGGTCGTTTAATTATATTGGAAAGTTAATGAAAATTTCCAAAATCAACTGTTTTAATGAAGATATATCAGAAAAGTTTGCAGTTTTTGATTACTGTTAATTTAAATTAATTATTGATTAAAACATATTAATATTTTATTGATAGTTATTAGTTTTTTATGTTTGATAATTCTCTTTATTTCCAGCCTTCCTATGTTTACTATATTAAGAAGATTTTCTATTTTATTCACAATGATAGCTGAATTTTTTATACTTGGGTAAGTATTGAGATTAGCTTTATAACATCAATTAAGCACAAAAGCACATTTGATTTTCTTGAACATGATAACCACTGTGACTTAGTGAGTTTAACAATGGATTGTTAGTATGGAGATCTTGAGTTGTAGTAAAGAAGTATGATAACCTTTAGATTCCCCTAAAATTGCCTATTCCAAATAAAAACATTCAGATTCACTTATCATAGAACTGGAAGGTATTGTTGTAATTTTGTGACCTTGAACAAATTGAGAATTCATCACTTGATCTTCAGAACTCTCTAAAGTGAAGTAATAGTTCTGGTATATTTTAAACAATATGTTTATTTGTTTTAGTGTGAGAGCACGAGGAGTTGTACAAATATCTGTTTTTTTGATGATATTTGGTGCTCTTGTTGCAGTAGCGTAAGTTCTTATATACAGTCTTTTAATTTTCTTCATCTTTTTACTGATCTTACTTTCATAATATCAATTTGTAAACCTCTGACAGTTTAAAACCAGTGAGAAACTATTATCAGTTCAGTCTTTGTACAGAGTTTCTCCTGATATTAATTGAATTTAATGTATATTTTGATAGAGGTGACCTGACCTTTGATCTAGTTGGTTATATACTGATATTACTAAATGATCTAGCTACTGCTGCTAATGGTGTTTTTACTAAGAAAAAATTAGACGCCAAGGTAATACACTGCACTTATATTATACCAACTGAATATTGCTTATTATACTATATACATGATATATATATGTACAACATATTAACCCTTTGAACACTAAGAGTAATTGAAAAATGACTTTGCTTTTTATAGCGTTTGAGATTTAATTTATGTGGTGTCACATGGTAACAATTGCAAAATTGTGTGGTTGTTAAAGATGTTGCTATTGTTGAAAAGTTTAAAGATATGTATCATATAAGTAAAAGTATGCAATGAGCTTTATCACAAAATGTGTTGTGGTATGGACTGCTTTAGTTATGTGTAGCTACCATTATGTTGCCATCAATTATTAAGTGATTGTGTGATTTATAAAATGTACATCATTTTACCAATAAAAGTTTTCAAGGTAGTGCCTTTTGGGTCATATCTATTAACATCAGAATACATTAATCATTATTATCTGATTTTATTAATCATTAAACTAGATTTTCAATATTTCAGCTGTTACTGGTATCATTGTTTTATCATTATTACAGGATTTAGGGAAATATGGTTTATTATATTATAATTCATTATTTATGGTTTTACCATTATTTATATTGAATTATTTTACTGGGGAAATTGATAAGGTAATTTTTAATATTTTTTTTTGGGTTTATTTGCTTTCTGATATTTTCCAGCGTTAAATTTAAGATGAAAATATTGATTAGCAATTTAACACAAAATTTTAAGTTTTGGTTAATCAAATTAAATTTCTTTCAAAAACAGCATTTTGACAAGGAATAGATTCTCAGACTTATGGAATTTAGGCATGGATTCTAGGCTGCAGATATAACTATTTATTCTACTTGCTGAAACCTTTAATTTGAGCTATCTGTAACACTATGAATTGAAATATGACACATAGTTCATCCAAAATTGAATGAAAACACAGTGATTGTTGAAACTGATGTCACTTCCCAATAATAATATTAACATCCTCACATGATGATGCAGTAACTTTTACCGTAACTGTCCCAAATGTCAATGTCTTTACTTAATAACGACTTGGAAGTGATAACAGCCTAAGCTTTCCTGGTTGGCTTTTGTTGAATTATAAGGATAACCTTTTGTAGGATTTGACTAGTGGAAATTCAGCTCTATCAACTAATAAAACAAATATCTAGATGAATATATCACTTAAAACTGTTGATTTTTATACGACCCACATCTCTCTATGTGGATGTATTTTTGTCGGCACCCCTGTCCGTCATCCGTCAACATTTGCTTGTAAACGCTCTAAAAAGATTTTTTGATGGAATAAAATGAAATTTGGTATGTGTATATCATAAAACGAAAATCAAGTTTGAATTTGAGCTATTTTCGACTGTTAGAAGCAGAGTTATTGCCCTTGCCCCAAAATCTTGAATATGCTATTACTCTCTTAGTTTTCAACCGATTTTGATGAAACTTAAATTGGATGTTTCGTTTTTACCATTTGCATGCATTGGTGGGCATATATGGCTGTGGTCCACTATCTTTTTATTTGAATTTCAGACTATGGTATATGATAATTGGTTAAATCCTATGTTTTTAACATGTTTTATTACCTCCTGTATGATGGGCTTTGTTTTAAATTTTTCTATTATTTTATGTACTGCCTATAATTCTGCCTTGACAACGACTATTGTGGGTGTTTTAAAAGTAAGTTATGACATTTATAGTAAACATTGCTGGAGATATATAGAGACAATTTTAGGCTTATGACAATATATGATCTTTATGATGGATAAAAGTACTATCAAATACACAACATGAAACACTACTCAATGAAATAATCAATATTTTAATAGAAAACACTTAGGGAAGAAATTTTAATGTTTCCCATAATTTTATTTCTTAGACCCATGACATCAACCTGTTTTCATGTGTTCTCAGGCATTTTCGAAAAAACTAAGCAAATTGATATATGCAAATTATTGCAGGCAGAAGCTAAATTTTCAATACTAATTATGACTTGGAATGTAATTCTAATATATTTTTTTATTTCAATTTTCAGAATTTACTTGTTACATATTTAGGAATGTTTTTGGGTGGAGATTATTTATTTTCTTGGCTGAATTTCACAGGGTTAAATATCAGGTAAATAAGTTTAGATCAACTTTCAATAAATAAAATAATTTACTCTGAGGTTTTGATTAGATTTTTGGTAAAAATATGAATGTATTATATAAATATAAACATTAAACATCATTGACTATGTGGACTTTCAGAGTTTTCAAATCCAGTGGTAAGCATTTTGTACCTTTCTGCTGACTTCCTCCACAGTACAATAATGTAACTTTATGTTCCATGCGATAACTTCAGACTCTAAATTGATTGTTTGATTCCTGTATTGAGCAAGCATTTGTTAAAGGAATACCTAGATGAAAAGCCCAGTAAGTTAAGAAAGGAGATATATAGAAATCAGTTGTAAATAAACTGAGTGAGAATAAAATTTCACTATACAAGTAGGGAAGATATTGTGTATGTATCGGTTGAAATGTTGATTCTAATTTTACCAATGATTTATTTTATTTCAGTGTATTTGGAAGTTTATTATATACATATGTTACTTTTAAAACCAAACAACCGTCCAAAAGCAATGAAAAAAGTGAACCAGAAGAAAAAACATCAGAAACTGTATAATGCATTTCATAACTATTTCATTGTTTGTTATTGTTTGTTATAAGCCATGTATACATATACTTGCAAGTATAAAGCCACATATGCATTTATTGTCTCTTGGAGTTTAGTGGTGTAACTATATTCATGCATATAAGGATTCAACACCAAATTTCGTCAAAATTAAAAAAAAAAAAATTTCTGTCTTAGATGTTTCTTCAGATATTCTATAAAAAATTGAATTGGTTTGTTTCGATTTTCTTTATGAATTTCTCACCTTGACCCATATTTCATGTAACCAAGCAAAATCCATCCCTTATTTTTGTTTACAATGTTTGATCTATAAATAAGTCAAGAAAAACGTGTTTTGATACCCAGTGGTATATTTCTTTAATGTCAAGTTATTATAACTAATGACAAATCTTTCAAAGAACAATGATTTAAAAAAAAATAGTGACTGACAAAATAAGAAAATAAAACGTTCATTGAAACAACATAATATGGTCCACATTGAGTTCCATAGAATTTTTCTGCTGACATGGAATTCGTTAGGTTGTTCACTGGAATATGTTCTAGCAGACAACAGTTTGGGATTATAAGGAAATTTGGTTGATAAACAATTGTGACATTTTGTATATGTTTCAAATAGATAATAAATTTGACATTGCTTTAATACAATTGGAAAAATTCTGCAGGTTGACGTTGTAGAGAAAACTCATGTTTATCAAAACATGCAAATGTGAATTATTAATCATTTCTGAAGATTCATGAAATTAGGTTACTTGACTGTATATGTAAGTATGTAGATACATAATATGCTCCACATAGACAAATTCACCATATCTTTTAGCAACTGATTCTTTATATTTTCATATATCATGATATAACCTTATTCCATAATAGTATATTTACCTTTTGAGGTATTTATTCCTGCGAACAAGTTTATTAGCTTAGGCATTGCCAATTGGATTTAATTATGGATTTATTTAGTGGATGCAATAAATGTTACTCTTATCAAAACTTAATAGTCTTCTTAGATGTATCATTTTAGCTCTGAGTCAAAGAGTTTTTTTTCATTGCTCTCTATGAATTTCAGAGTAATTCATAGATTATGGAGAATGACCTTACAAAATATATCTATAAATCTATTTAGTATCTAAAGAGAAATTATGGGTTCGGAAACTAAGTCATTGTTGCTTTTCCCAAGCTGAAATTATGTAAAAGATATATTAGATTAGAATAGTTGAATAGGAAATACATAATGCATAGAATACAGAGCATTGTCTTACAAAAATTAAAATTCATGGCATGTGTATTTTTACTCTTGCAAGTTCATGATATTGGATCCTATTTTTCACACATTAAATAAATACACATTTGGAAAACCCATTTGTTTACCGTAAATATTAGAAATCCAATTAATTAGTAAATATATACACTTCACATTTATTTATCTATCTATTTATTTCTAAATTTTTTCATATAAAATACACTTAAAGATACAACTGTACACATATATACATATGTCTTCCACTTGTAACTCCTTTGAAGAATGTTCTAATTTCTCTACCAATATTTTGATAGTCAGTCATGTAGAATACATTTATATACTAAGACAGTAAAAACTATGTGCTATTACTATTTTAGTTTATTTTAAGTTTCTTGTCTTATTCTATGAGATATTTTATATTCATGTTTTATGATTTTATCTATGTTGTTAATCTTGGGTTGTGTTTATAATTGGTGGCACAAATTTCTTAGTGGTCTATATAAATAAACTGGCATATATCAATAGTTTTAGATTTTTGATTGAAGACTCTTAAAATGGATCTAAAAAGGTTTTTAAACTGTCCAGATGTCAAATTGTGAAATACTTTTAGGATTCATGAACAGCACTTTACTGCTTTTAATTCAACCAAATGTGGATTTGGAAAGTTATACAGTCAATTGATAAGATAGAGAGACATTAATTAATGCATTACTAGTTTAAGTATTATTTTTATATGAAAGGTGTATTGTTTAGTCCCATATATTGCTACCTAAGAAGCAAATTTCAAATCTCACTCTTTACAGTTGATATATATTAATTTTATTATTTTAATTGTTTAATTTTGATCATATTATTTGTTAGATCACAATAGAGTGAAAGGAGAAAAATAAAAGTTTTGGGGGTTATTAAAAAGTTTTTTAATATGCGTGTGATTTTGTTCTGGTTTGTAGAACTAACAGTGACTAGGATTTTTTTTCTGACTTCAGGCTTATCAGGAATACGGATAGCTCCAATTTGCACCATTCCAATTTTTAGTCTAATTCCACTACCACTACAAAGGTTTTTATGATGTAGCTATTGTAAATGCCTTTTAGATATGATTAGCAACTTTTGCAATAGTAATATCAAATACATAAGCATTCTATAATACGCTATTGATCTGAAGGAAAATTGGAATGATGCAAATTTGCATGGATATCAGCTGGTTTTTGAGAAAAACCTCAAAGCATTCAGGTACTGTCTGGAATGAATACAGTCAACTTTTTGATTCCTGAAATCAGAGACAGAATTCAAAATGATACCAGAGTAATTGTCCACAAACGACTAATATTATACATTTCTGAGATTAATGTATATTTGCCCTTCAATATCAGATCAATAACAAAACTAAATTAACTAATTATTTTTAATTGCACATTTTTCATAACAAGATGATAGTTCTATATGATGTGGAACAATATTATAGATATTACATATTCTAAATAATTATTGTTATTAAATATCAAATTTTGGAAACAAAGTAGATAAGAAAAAACAGTTAAAAGATGTAGCCTACCTGCCCGTTCAGCATTTCAATTCAGAAAAATTTCACTCTGATACAAAGTGACCTAATTGGAAATATAGAAACATAGGCCTTATTCTCAAAAACTGAACTTGATTTTAGCGTTCCATTTATCTTATTGGTCAATCACTTAAATTGATTTTAAATTTTTGAGTTTTATTATCCAATCAGATTACTGTATTCTTCAGAATTATATCCAAGTTAAGTTTATAAGAATAAGGCCCTGGCTAATTAACAGAAATTAAATAAATCATGTGTATATATACATATGGAGTAATAATTACAATCAACTTCATACATGTTTTGCCAGTTATCTTAGTTATAGTCATCTTCACAATGTCAAGCTATTACAAACTGCATCTAATACCATGACTGCAATAACCAACTTTCTTGTGTCCCAAAGTTTGTAAGCGTAGCAATTTGAATGGATTATACACTACTGAATATAACCAGTCATAGCCCTCGATTACTTGCACTTCCAAATTGTAATTAAAATCCATTCAAATTGCTGCATTTACCAACTATCAAAAAATTTGCTATTGTAGTCAAGGTATAAGATGCAGTTCGTAATAACATTACTTTGTGAGGGTGATCCAGGTAAAAATTTAGTAAGTAACATAAAGTATTTTTTATAGTTTAAAATAAAGATGCACAATAAGTTAAACTTAGATAAATCCAATATTCAAACTATATTTTTGAATCAGTTTAATTTGTATTTGTCAATGATAAATCTTACTTCTTGCTGGTATAAATTTAAAATTTGATTCGAAAAGGAATTATGTTTCCTGATAATTTCTCAGAATGTTATCATTGGTTAGGAAAATTATATTTAGTCATTACACAACTTTTAAACTACCAGTACAGATTTACTTGAACTACAGGTTTTGCAATTTTGTTTAGAGCCTGTGCACTGGGTCTGGGCAAAAGAAGAATGTGAAAATTAAGTCAAAAGGTCATATGTATCAGAAGACTCCATTTAGGCCTTACAGAGTACTTTTGCCACTGGACAGTTAAAATGGAATACATATAGGTGCAATGAAACTAAAAATCTAGAACTAAATAATACCGAAATATAACTACAATTTTTCTCTTTAAAAAAACTAAGATATTCTTGTTTATTGATAAATAAAGCACTAATAAGAAATGATTAACTATCATAATGAATTACTATATACAGTGATTTCTGATTAATGACTGGATTTTAATAATACAATTACCGGTAAACTTCTTTTATCATAAAAATATAATGGCAAGCTTTATATAGATTTTAAAATATTCAAAAAATTCAACATTTAGATAAGCTAAAGAGCTTGAAATTCAAAATCATTTTGGCTTATTAACTAGGATATTGATTATAGAAATTTGTGTTTCTGGAAACCAAGTCACAAAAAGTCAACTCAAATAAAGTGATGCCAAATTTAGAGATATATTTAAAAAATTTGTGACCTTGACATAAGTTAAACCAAAAAGATATTGTTTGGAAATATTAAATTTTTAAAACCCTGCAGAAAAATTCAAATATATGTATGAACTTCTGTTGGCAGGGAAAAATCTTATATTTAACAGAGTTTGATTTCTAAATACATAACATAATAACAAAACAAATTAAAGTAACAAAAATATACATATTATTTCACCTAATATTTTCATACAAATAAATAACTCAATCAAAACTATATTTCTCAATAATCAACATTCATTTGTTTCAGTTGGATATTTTTTTATGAACACAGAGTCTCAAGTGAGACCTTATCATTATTCGTCACTTTGCACTGACAAGATCTACTTCCGACATCCATATTCATTCAATGTAGCTCCCAGGAAGCTCGATATCTGGGTGCTTAAAGACCCACTGCAGAAAGTAGAAATTTAGAATTTGGATTTATGTTCGCCAAAAAAAAATAAACACAGAATATGGAAAACAGTTGATTCAATTCCTGCTGCTTAGTCCAATCTTCATTCTGTTTTTCTTTGGGTAGAGATTTTCAAATCAATGCTGTTCACATAAATTTAATGAAAAACTGTTTCAAGATGATGTTAATTTACTATTTGTGTCATTTTCACAAGTAATTTTCACTGGGAAACAGATTCTGGACTATTAAGAAGAACACTATCAGAAACACATACTGAGTTCACACTAGGAGTTGTAATATTTTCAATAGATGCTTCTACTGCTATGTCACTTTCAGTAGTTACACTATTTGGACTCTTCACTAAAACTGAAACGGAATTTGGTGTTTTTATCTCACAATTATTTGATTCTGTTTTCACTTTTTTCACTAAAGGATCACTACTTATATTCACATTTTCTAATGTTCCATTTACACAAGTCTCATCTTCATGTAAACGTTTTTGAGATGGTGATGTTGAGGAGTCATTATGAGATGGTTTAGGTGATGAACAATGAAGACTAGTGTCAGTTTGACTCAATGGAGTCACAGTTTTATTGTCTGTTTCTTGTTTTATGTGAGGTTTTTTAAGATCATCGTAAACTAAAGAAGATAAGGTAGGACTATCAGATCGGTCTCTGGGAGGTGGAGTGTTTGTATCTTGTTCATCTAAAAATCTATCCATATAATCTCTGTAAAGAGAAAAATAAATAGTATTATATATTTCAACCAAATACAGCCTGGCCTAAATTAATTTTTATAAGATTACAAATAGATATTCTAACATATTTATCCAGATACAATTCTTATTCTGGTGCAAACTTAAATATCAATACAATATTACTCCTTGCAGTTTAATACATAATATCTACTAATAAGTACTGCAATGTTTGAATAGACTTTCATGTTATGATTTCATTTACTCAGGCCATTCCAAATGTTAATTTATGTTCCTTGTGATTTTGAACAAAGTTCTAGAAATAAATAAATTTCATAAGTGTGTGAATATTGTGATTTACTTGCAAATGTGATTGCAGATATGTTCATATATCACACCAAGGCCAATCCAATGGTAATTGAATAGAAAATCATTTTTGACTGTCCTTAACACTCAAGATTTGTATCCATCTAGAAATTTGACTATAATCAACTTACGTAACACCTGGATGTAAAGCATATTTTCTTTTTTCTAATCTAGTTTTATTAGCAAACGCATCATGCCGTTCAGTTTTCTTCCATAAATAGTAAAATTGAACTAATTCACCAACTGACCTTGTCCGCACCTAAGTGATGAAAATATATAAATGTTTAAAAATGATAACTGTGTTATGTTACCCATCTCACAATCTAGTTTTCCACATATATTCATGGTTATGCTCCAATGTCAATTTTTTTACAAAGTTGATAATATACTGAAAGGCATAAGAACATTATGTGGTAATTCAAAAGACCAGGTGCTTTTTCAGTGCCAGCACCTTACATGTTTAAACTGAACATTCAATAGACAAACCTTATTTTGTTGAATAAGATAAAAGTTTTTTCCATATGTTCTAATACCATTTTCAAAATTTCTACATTCTTCTTCTGACCACAGACTCATTGGATCTGATGGAGGGACAGCTGACATCTTTCTTCTCCGTAAAGCTTCATCCATATTATGACCACATTGTAATAACAAATATAACGCCTATAAAAGAATTATTATTATGATTTTTATGTGAAATATTTTAAGGACTTTTTAAGTGCTCTTCACCCATTCAAATATGGTTGATAAATTATGGTCAAAATGCGGCAATTAAAAAAATGCAAAATATTTACCTGTTCATCATCTTTAACATGTATACCAGTAGGTATAGAGTTCACACCTGTAGCTGATTGTAGATTATCTTTCTGTACTTCTGTTAGGTAAGTTTCAACTACAATAAGTTTAGCATAGTGTTACAGAACTGTAGAGCTTCAACAACTAGATCATTTTTCAAGGTTAGGGTTTTTTTTTACTTTCCCTTATAAAACAAATCAAAACAAGTCCATATAGCAGCATATCATCTGGTGTATATTGCATCCCATTTCAAAATACAGTACTATAAAGTATACATTACAAACTTACTGATATTTTCTTTATCTCCATCAAGCTTACTAGGATCCCACAGTAAACGATCTTCATTTTCATAGGCAGGAGCATCACCATATTTATTTAAACCATCTGGTACTTTTACCTGATAATCTCCACCTACTTGTATAGTCTGTAATTATATAATATTAGACATTTTAATCTTAAGGAGATAATGCTTTGAATTAATTAAAATTACACCGAACTTCTGTTGGTATTTTATTAATTCGAATGTTTTATTAGCTATTATCTTTGTACGTAACCACTACAGTAAGGTCTAATACTGTCCTTCTTAACTTTTCATTCTGTTAACCTTTGCTTAAAACACTCGAAGCTAATAAATTAAGAACGGAAGTTAGGTCTAATTTTAATTAGACTGATTCTAATCAACCAAAAATAACAATTTTTTTCATATTCTATTTGGAATTGCAAAACTAGGGGGTTTACCATACATTCGAATAGCCAAGAACAAAAAACAGAGTTGTCTGTTATCTTAAAGGACATGTTCTAATCCTTGAATACCTTTTTCCAATCTTCTTCTGCTATAGGATGATAATCAACATCATCTTCAGAATCTGATACATCTTCATCATCATGATGTCTACTGTGATGACTTACTTTAGCTGCAAATACAGCGATATCAAAATTATTTATTAAAATATTAAGAATCGTTAGATTAGAACAGAAATTGATATTTGGGTACATTACTATCAGTTTACTTCCCCCATTAAGCTTATACACCTGAATAGGCTAATGAAGCTCTGAAAGAAGACAATATATTTCGAACTGTCAATTGCAAAGCCTGTAGCACAAATTCCATTGTCATTCCAATCCAAAAGACTAGATGCATTTTCCATGTCCAAGGTGAAAGTATGTATAGAAAAGTTACGAGTTATCTAAACTTGCTTTGGCAATGAAGCTCAGACAAAAACATAAGAGAAACTTACATCGTAGAAGTCGAGGTGTATGAGATGAGGAGACACTTTCTAATAAATCAGTCACACTGGTTTCTTTGTCATCATCATCACTATTTGTTTTTAATACATCTCTAGCTATTTCATCTTTATCTAATGTTAAATCATGATTACTGAGTATTTCCTCTTCACTACTAGATCTAGTATTATCAGCATTATTATCTTGATTATCACTATAACCATAGATAGCTAATAAATCTTCTATTGGCATCTCCCCTTCCTATAAATATATTTCATTCTAAATAACATTTTGAAAAGCATTTAAAAGAGCTGTCACAAGTTAAAACTATGAAGTAAGGCTCATTTATAAAGTACAGAATCCAACCATTGTATATATTAATTCCACGAAAACAGGGGAGACATTGGTCTAAATGTTGTGTCTTATCTTTGTAAGCTTAAGTTTTGTCACATACAGGTGAAAAATTATCATTGTACTGGGACAATTTTGCTTTCAAGTTTTATCTGCTCAACAATTACCTTTTCTAAATCATTCAATTCATTAGAGCAGCTATCATTACTCATATTTTCTTCTTCTTCTAGAGTCCTTTCGTCATCAAAATCATGTACTAACATATCAGCTGAAGGATCAAAATCTCTATCAGTATCTGTAAGTAAAATATATCAGTGGATAAGCTTTCCTGGCGAGTTTCTTTCTTTAGAAATTCCACAAGGTCTAAGTTTCTTTTACTCTCATTCATGTGTAAAAAAAAAATGAAACCTTGAAAGGAGTCATAGTACAAATGTATAAGCTTATAAGTAAGTTTATAAGACTAAAAATACAGGAAGTGATAAAATAATTTCTCACAGTAAGTTTAACGCCTGCACATTTTCAGTAAATTTCGAAACTATTCACATTTATCAAAGCAACATTTATGTGAACTACCGATATGTGAATATTAAAGCACTACAGTCGAATAACACTATAAAAATTTGTACATGACATCTATCCTATAGACAACTGAATGAGAAACATAAAATAAAGTTTTATTCCATTGCAGCAAAATCCCATAAATTATAATTGTATAATCTATGAACCAGCATAAAAAAAAATGATGGAAGCACTGCAACTAACTGCAATTTGCACAACTGCAAGTGCAAGCAACTAAGAAACTAGAAAGTGCAACCATAAATTCATAATAACAATTCCATTTTCAGATGATTACAGTATACCAAAGCTTAAGCAAAATAAAAGAAAAAAAATTACTGAAGATAAATAAACTAAGCAGAAATTGGAAGGGAAACTGAAGTAAAAAATCACATGACAGCTAAGGAATGGGCTATCCCAAACACGGCTGACCTAATTTGCATAAATTCTTGCGCGGGAGTTCCTTTACTGGAAGTAGAAATAAACTAACCAGGGCTGCTGGATCCACTTCTAGCTCCCTGAAATGAATTAAGGAATACATCAAACAAAAATAAGATAAGCGTTAAATCGATTGCAAAATAAACTTTTGCATGATTCTATAAAATCATCTCTTTCACAAGCGGCATGACCGATTTATTTATGTCAAAATTTCCCGCAACTTAGCTTCCTCAAAATTGCAAACTTTGACCGAGTCTTATTGAACTCCTGCGAGATGAATCTTTCCATAAATCAGAGACAATAAAACCAAGATGATTGTGTAACTAATGGCAGCAGTCTTTGAGGCATTCATGACCTCTGAAAGCCTCCATAGAGGAAATTCCATCAAATGAAGCAAGGACTTCACACAAACCTCCATTTTCCAAAAATTATGGGATACGTAAACGACCCTGAAAACGAGGCTAGCGTTTCAGATTGAAGGAAACTCCCGTTAGATACAAACGTTTTGATTGGGTGAAATTTGATGCGACATATTTATTCTTTTCGACAAATTAGGAATTCAGTAATATATTTCTCTCGAATACCTGTGTAAATGTAATATTTGTGATGTCTTTTTTGCTAGATATGACATTAAAATGAGAATATTTTCATAATGTCGGTTCTGTAACCACTTTAAGTAAAGTAATAGATTATGAGATCATCCAATCAGAAACAAGCTTACAACACTAAGTTGTCGTCAATGACAACCGAAATAGATTACCAAAGGAAAGACAACTCTATTGTTTGGGGTTAGAATGGCAGGTTTGACCGTCAGAAAATAAAACTGATTCAATTCTTTGCTATTTATTATTTAATCAACAAAGGTTCTTCAAGATGTCTACAATTAAACCGAAAAAGCTTCTGATGGCTCCGTAAGTTTCAGATATAATAATATTACTTTGCAAATCGACCTATTTAGAATTTAGACTTGCCTAAACTAAGAAAAGTGAAAAGTCAAAAGATATGGCACTGACAATCTCTGCCATACAGCTTTGGATGTTTGGTTGATTCACTGAAACAATTTAACTCTGAAACTGGACTCCTCATTTTAATTTTATTAGTTTATATTTTGATTAATAAAATCATTCAATGTCAGAATAAAGTATATGGTTATTTTATCCAAGACATTTCTTGAGAACTGGGCCCTGTTTCTCAAAAACTCTTAAGTCTTATGACTATGATCAGTCGTATGTCGTAAGTGTTGATTTGACAATAAATCGTTGATGACGTCAAAAAAACGATAACGTCATCATTAAGTTTCATTGACCATGGAAATCAAAATTTCCCCAAGCTTTGAATTGCAATGAATAATTTCGCCTAGCCCATAAAAATTGTCCCTCGGAAAACAGTCTTTAATCTACAATTTAGCATTATTGTCAGCTGTTAATAAGGATGAAGATTTCCCTTTTATCAGAGATATAGGCCTATAGGCTATTCAGTTACCTCTTTGACGAAAACATTTAAGTTGATTTTTCGAAAATTCGATTTTCTTGTCGCCAAACCATCCAAACACATTTTGTCATCTGTTACTAAGTCGGTTTTGCGCATGCTAAGTTTAGCACCTCGATCACACAACAATTTTTTCTCGTAAGAGATTATTCATGACACTTATGATAGCCTTTGAGAAACGCACGTATTCCTAAACTTAAGACAGTCTTAAGTGGTAAGTTGTACAATTTTTTGAGAAACGGGGCCCAGATGTCCAGACAAATTAAAATAGGCAACAGGGTTCTATAACGCTTGGAGCAATGAGGCTTTTATTTAGGTTGTAGATAAATTAATGTTGATTGAAAACTAGATTTAAATTACCATTATTTTAAAGTAATTTCTTATATTTTAGAAATCAGAATGTAAATACCAGTAAAAAGAGTAATTTGACTCATTCTGTGAATAAAAGTAAATTTGGTGGAGGAAGAACAACAACATTTGGTAGTTCTAGATCTAACATAGTGACGTCTGCTAGTAAGAAGAGCGTAGGTGATAAATATAGTCATAAACCAGTAGTTCAGGTATATTTGTTTACTTTACCTTAACTTAATCACCACTTTTTTGAGAGGCATCAACTATTGAACAGTCTTGTTTGAATATGATATTGATATACACACAAGTTTTTAAATTCCATTAAGATTTATTTTCTGAATTTTCAGGTATTTGATGAAGGTGTTGATGTTACACCAGTACCTCTAATACATCCTGATCCTAATGTACATATCTTGAAGAAGAATCAAAGTAATATATTAGATAGCTCAGCAGGAACAGTAAGTCAAAGTTTTTCTAATGCTTTTGATATAAATTACAGACCCATTATATATATTATATATATAATATTTTGAAGATGAAGAAATATAAATCAAAATCAAAGGAATGCATTTCTTCTGTACAGGCAGAATTTTATTTTAAATCCAAAATTCCAACTGAACCTTAATTTTGAACTTAGTATATATTTTTGTAAATTTTGCAAATCAATTCAACTTGATAGTGATTTTAAATTATTTGCAGCCCACCGATCTATTGTCCCAAAGTTCTTTAATGTACACCACTGCTACTACTAGTGTTTATGGTGGATTTTCAAGGTAGGTATTCTGTGTGAAGCATTCTCACCTTTCAATTTTTTAATTAAATTCTTGAAATATTTTGGGCATTTTTGTTTCACTATTTATTCTTTTAATACTAGTTATCTATCTGTGTTTTTTCTTTATGGATAAAAAATGAAATTTTCATTGGTACAAAATTAAAACAAGCCCAAAGCCTCAGAAATTACACCCTCTGTATAATGTATGGAATGAGACTTGTGTTATACTAGATAATAAGTTCAGAATGGTAGAATGTATCTTGCTTCTTCATCTATAATACAATCTATCTGTTTTAGATCTGTATTTAACCAATCGTATGATACAGGATCAGGTATAGATGATGGTATGATAGAACCTTCTACTGATTTATCATCTTGGGCAGGTAAGATTATGTAAATTATCACATACTGGATTGTGTTGCCTTGGACTTTTGATGCAAATTATCCAAGTCAGCTTGCACTTTTCTCCATCCATTGAAATGATTTTAATGATTTTTTTCGTTTTTTTGATAAGGATGTTTTAACGTCTCTAACTCTATATTTTGTTGTCTTCAAAATTTGTCTGTGTGAGCTTCACTTTAATGTGCATTTCAGCAGATTTGCCTGGCAAAATCTTGATGCCACTCTACAACTGGGCATTTGACTTGAGTACATCTAGAATTATCCAGCTCTTGAGTTCTTTAGTTTGTATTGTCCATTCCTTTAATAAGTTTTGATTAAATTTTCAATAATTATATTTCAGACATCAAATATAAACGTGAAGAAGTAAAAGAAATATTGACAGATTCTGATTTAGAGAAAACAGTTGATTTAAACCTGTCAGAAACTGAAACAATATGGTTATTAGATATGCCTGATGTCTGTGTTTTTCTGGAGTCGGAGGAAGCTCCTAGTATTAGACAGAGAAATGAAAAATATACTGAAGTAAGACAATTAAATTTTTTGTTGCAGTTTTATCTCCCTTTAGTCTTCAAACTTTTTTTTTTATTGCATCATCAGAGTAGAGTCATCATTTGTAAATACCTGAGAAAAGATAATAGTGTACATCTTTGTAGAATTCCTTAACTTAAACATGGATGGTACATTTTATTTTGATGTAATAATACCATTAAAATACTATATTATATACTGTAAAAGTCTGGTTTCAAATTTCAAATACCATTTTTTCTACCTTAAGACAGGATAACTGCATAAGTGTATGTTTGGGTCCCCAGTTATACTGAAGTCTTTAATTTTAATTATTTCTCTTTATTTTTCATTAAGTTTAACATATTCCAAGCTAAAATAATAATCACACTTCACCTAATGAAATTCAGTTATTTAAAGCTAGAGTTTTATATATTTAAGCTTACTTGTTAAAGCTTAAACACATTTTGTGTAGTTTGACTAAGAAGTTGTCTCCCTTTAGTCTTCAAACAGGAGTATGTTAAAATGTCTTAATGTTGTAATATTTTGTAGTTAATGAAGAGTCGTGCTGGTAATGATAGATATGTTGATAGAGGAATGAATACTTTTAATGAACCATACAAAGTCAAACAAATACAGACCAGTAAAGTTCCCAGTGTTGTAAGTGTAATCATAATTAAATAGTATATATTGACTGAGAGAGCAAAACCTTTTTTTAAATTTTTCTACATTTTCAAAGAGAATTGGAATATCAGCTTCAAATAGTACAGATAGTCTTAGAATGTCTTTGAATTTTTCTATATTCCATAATTTTTTAAGAGAATTGGAATATCAGCTTATTACATTGAAAAGAAACATGGTTTGCATCATCCAATTTTTTATACAAAATTTCTACCATGTTTTGTAACTGTACAAGACTGTCATTAATTCTATCATTTACAGGATGTTGGAATCATGGCCACTACATGGGATATGCATGATACTTATGAAGCTGTTGATAAACAAAACAAAGGTAATATAATATTGTATATAGTAAGGACAAGACACTTAGTCAGCCATTTTGAAACGTACCTCCTGATTTAAACTATGATATGAACTAGTACTTGTGGACAGCTGTTAAAATATTGAATATATATGATGTCATAAGATATAACTACCTGGGCTTGTTTAAATAGCTATATTTATTTGAGAGGGTTGAGAGTCATTGCCATAGAATTTTTTTAGTGACAGTACTAGGATCTTAATAAAATGGCAGAACTGATACCTTAAAACTAATTGTAGTTGATGATGAAGATGGAGAAGAAGGAACTATTAGTAGACCAGCTAGTCCTGCAGCTAGTGGTGAAGAAAAAACTGATGAAGAAAAGAAAAATCCAGAAACAGGTTCACGTGGAAGCAGTGCCAGAATGGGTAAGTTGAAATTTCATTCGTGCATTTTGTCATCCATGAATTTTTTTTTGCTTTCAAAATTTGAATATAAAAATTCTGATGAAGTTCCTTCCATCAAGGTATGAAATATGTTTGTTGATAGAAGAAACGTTGAATCATCAAGATTGTTTCACCCTGGATTTTGTTTTGAATTTGTAGGAAGTAGAAATACTGTCATGTCTAGTATGGCTGGATCAGACAGTGTTTTTGCTAGTCGAGATACAAGTCTGTCAACGACTGTATCATCAGAAGTTAAGGCTCATGAAGAACAGAAAATCATGCAGGTATTTGCTTTTGCATCTTCACCATCTTCTGTGAGACAATTCCTAGTAAATTTTCAGTGAGATTTGATTAAGCCATGCTTTAAAATCCTAAATCAGGGGCAAGCAGCTCTACCTGGAAGGTAAATAACTCTAGTATATTTTCTTCAAAAGGCTCCACTTTTAATCTGACACTTGCTTTAAAAAAGAAATTATGTTCTATTTTTGTAGTCTGATAGTTTTAAGATAGATTTATTTACTATGGAAAGAGCATTACAACTAAACACTTATCAACCAAAACAAGCTTTATATAGAGGTTTCGATATTATCCCAGGTATGTTCCACATTTCATTCTGGGGGAAGGAAGTTTGAATTCACTACTGTGCAGGGGCAACACTGAGATTTACTGGTATCATAGGATTTAAATGGTATCATAGGAAGGGCTCATAAAGTTATTTATGATTGATAGGTAGTGAAAGTAGTCTTTTAACATCAATTACACTTAATTTCCTGTCATGCAAAATTTCATTCATCACTCTAATCGTTTGAATAAGGTGCTATAAGTCTGTATATTGACATTTCCAGATGTAGATAAAGAAGTCTCCACTGTAAGCACTTTAACTGGTAATGATATGGGACCTAATCTAGATAGACTCTGGTCCTATACTTGTCCTCTAACTAAAGGTCGAAATGTTAGCTGTATGTCCTGGAATAAAGTGAACCCTGTAAGTTATATTAGTTCTTAATTATATCTTATGAGAGGATTACACAGTACTTTGGTTTTGAATCTCTTGGAACTTGAGGATTTACTTATCCTGATCAATTCCAGCTAGCTGATGAAATAATAAATGAATTAACCTGATGTTGTGTTCACCTGCAATGAAATGAGATCCATTAGCTTAGCTAGTTCTTAAAATTGGAAGGTTTTGATCCAAAACATGATCAGTAAAATTATTACATTGTGATGTTTTTTGTAATGTCTTTTAGGACCTTATTGCTGTTGGTTATGGACAGTTTGAATTCACCAATCAAAAGGGTGGTTACGTTTGTTGTTGGTCTCTTAAGAATCCAGAGGTAAGCTATTCAACATTTCAAACTGTTTTTGTAAACCCAAATCAAGGAGATCAGAATAACTATAACAAGCTTAGGTTCATGGTTCTGTCTACTATGTTGTGCGTGACCAAAGTGTTAAGTGTTGATCGATCTCCAATTACATGTAACGCCTTACCAAGGATTCTAAGTACCAAATCCTTCTCAAAATAAGCAAAATAGTGATCTGTTGAATTGTTTCACTTTATCTGATATCTGTTATAATTACCTTATAATTGAACTGGTATATACTCATATTTCACTTCATGTAGGCTATTTTGTTGTCTGATTAATATTGGTTAAAAAAAAGAAGAAATAATTCAGTATTATTGAATTTAGATCTATTCAAAAGTTTTTTGATATACATGTACATAAATATTTCATTTTTCAAGCACTTTAAATAATAAACTCTTTATTGAGTCACTCTAATATTTTTCCAATTGGTGGTAATCCAACATTAATTATTGAGTCAATATTGATGTTGGCTTTTCAGCAGTTCCTTATTTTGCTTTTGACTACTTGTTGTATTAATATTAATTCATTATGATATATTGTAGTTTCCAGAAAGATTATTTACCTGTAAGGAAGGTGTTACAGCTGTTGATTTCTCCACCAAGAACCCCAATTTATTAGCTGTAAGTTTTTACTATTTTTTTACAATTTTTATTAAGATATTTTTTTGAGTCTTAATATTCATATAGAAATATTGCTTCATTTCATGAAAAATGTTTAAAAATATGTTAAATTAGATACACATGTATATTGTAGGTTGGTTTCTATGATGGTAGTGTATCTATATATAATGTTAAATATCCTAATGATGAACCTATTGTGGAGAGTAGGTAAGTCATCTTAGACTAATCTTCCATTCTTTGTATATTCTTCAACTTATGTATACTGAATACCATGAGATTTTGGCCTGTGGTGCTGTTAACTGAAGGGACAACCAGAGTTACACCTGTATATTCAGTAGTGTGGGGAGATGTAACTGCTTATTTTGACTGTCTGTATGATACTAATAATAAACAACTTTGCCTTAATATTTTCATTGAAGTGGTAAGGACTTATTTGATATCTGATATTTGGACTTAAAGATACGTTTATGAGCAATACCACTGAAAGAACAAAAATAGCTTACAGTATGTAAAAAGATGCTCGACAAGAGTTCATTCAGCCATTAGTAGAATGACTATTATAAAGATGTGCCCCTCTATTTATAGTGAATGTCCTAGTAAACATACATCACCAGTGTGGTATATTAAATGGATAGAAAAAGAGAGAGGTTCTGGCGAGGAAGGAACAGAAGTTATTATATCTATATCTACTGATGGTAGAGTCACACAATGGTCTGTTAGAAAGGGTTTCGAAACTTATGGTAAGTTACATACATTATTTATATTCTAAACTCATAATTTTTTTATCTGGAAGTTGGAAGGTGGTAGTCATTGTATTGCAAGAATATTGAGGTCATGGTTCCAGAAATGGTTAGTTTCAAATGCTTGTTCTACCTTCAGTGTATAACTGACAGTGATGGAGGTAAAAGTGGCTTATAATTAGAAGATCTATTATGCCATAGATTGGGTGACTGGAAAAGTTCGATAAGAGCGTTATTACCCTTGACATTTCCAAGTTTTGTCTTTTAACTAAAGTGAATGAAACAATTTAATGAATGAATGAAAGATAACAAAGAATAATTTAAAATGACTAATGTTGAAATGATATCACATTGTCTTCCATAGATTTAATGAGATTAAAAAGAATGCCAACTAGAATGGGTGGAAGGAACAAAGAAAAGAAAGGTGGAGCTTTTATTTGTAGTTATACTGGTGGATTGACTTTTGACTTCCACTCTCGAGACACAAACATGTAAGTTATCAGTTTATATACTTTAAGTTTTCTGCACTAGTCTCTCTTCATGTCTATGTTATAAAATAAACGCATGCTGAAGGCGTCTATCATAAACTTGCATCTCAACCTGTCTGGCAATTGCTTTTGAATATGTTAGAGACTGTAATTTATACAAAATTGTGTTAAGAATTGATCTTGCTTTTCAAAGAATTAAAACTTACATTAAATTTCATTAACCTGATTCTTTTTGTTTTACGCTTCTTTTTTCTTGCGAAAAAGTTACCTTTGCTTTTGTGCATTCTAGATTTTTGATTTTTTTATGTTTTTATATTGATTTTAATCTTATGTTATTTTTATTACTATACAGATATTTAGCTGGTACTGAAGAAGGATTCATACACAAATGTTCATGTTCTTATAATGAACAATATCTAGAAAGTTACTCTGGTCATACGGTAAGGAATATTTTGATCTTTATTTACAATATCACAAATCTGATCTTTGTAAGATTACTGGTATCCAGTTCCTGGAGTTGCAGTAACAGAGATCAATTCTGAAATAGGAAGAGTACAATCATTTGTATTTGATGAACACTGTTTTGTTGTAATTTGAATTCAGCAGAATGATATGGCAACTGAAATTTTGTTATCTCAACTTGAAGGTGACAATGGTCAAGTGATTGAACTACTGCTCCCTAAATGAGTAGCATGGTATAAGGTTTTGATTACTGATATATTATCTTTCAGGGTCCAGTTTATACTATTCAATGGTCACCATTTGTACCAGATATATTTTTAAGTTGTAGTGCTGATTGGAGTATTAGATTATGGCATCAAGATAAAGTGAAACCAGTTCTTAGTTTCTTCTCATCAACAGTAAGTTTCTTTGGACATCCACATGCAAGATTAAATTTTGAATTTATGTAATATCTTTTTACTTGTAATCAAAGCAATAATCCATATTTATTGTGCTTTCGTTTGGATTTTGTTTTTTTAATTCAATCCTGCACTTTGTGATGTACTGCTCAAAACTATCATTGGCATACTGTCGGCAAAGTGATGATAGATTATTCTTGAAAATTTGTCTTAATTTTTACATATTCTTCTTAAAAAGCAAAACAACTCTTTCTCAAATGTTAAAATTTTCTGTGTAATATTTCAGAAAGCAGTTCATGATTTATGTTGGTCTCCTAGATCTTCTACAGTATTTACATGTGTTAATGAAGGGGCTGTTGAAGTTTGGGATCTCAATTCTAGCACGTAAGTCAATGTTTCTCTGTTTGACACAGATTGTATTGACTCCTTTTCTTTTTATACTAATGATGTTTGATATTTATAAGAGATGAAAGATGTATGCTGATTTTAATTTTGCTTTTCATTTACAGTTTAGATCCATTGATTATCAACAATCCAACATCTGGTGCTAAACAGACTTCAGTTACATTTGCTAGAAATTCAGAGGTAATCTTGTTTTAGTAAATGTGTTTGTCATTTAACTTGCTGTTTGTAATTTAGAACTATATATCTATATTTTATTAAAGAAAGCATATTGTTCAATTGAATTAATCTAAGCTCATTTGAATGGGAACTGTGGCTGGTATTACTAGTGAAGAAGGGCATACTTACCCTGCAACTGGATTTTTCAGCTCAGAGCTCATCTTATTCATTTTATTTATCAAGTTCAGTAAAAGAAAGTTTATTATGATTATATTATGTATTTGTATTTTACAGTGTGTATTAGTAGGAGATAGTGAAGGGCAAGTCACTGTTTATCAGTTACGTTGTATGCCACCTCCACCAGAAAATCAGGTACCATTATTTTATTTATCACGTCACTTTGAGATCTTTTGATGATCAATGGGATTCCCAATTTTCACATTTGATCGAGCATGAGATAAGAATTGATCTATTCAGTATGGTATATAAGAACCTTTGAGCATGTTCTTAAAATAAATTGATGCATATCTGGAAAACAAACAATATCAATATTCTGTATGAGTGTATTTTATCTTAAAATTATATAGCTTTACTATAAAACTATGAGTTCTAGATCAGGTTATTTGATAACAATGAATTTAAATGTTACATGTATTATTGTTTTAATTTCAGGCTGATGCTCTCTTAAATGTTATAAAATCTTGTCTAGCAACACAGTTACAAACACAAGATAATAATAAAGAATACAAGTCTGATGATGATGATGATGATTTACTTAATGAAGAGGTTATTTCAAAGTAACGGTTATAATAATAGACAGTAACGTAAAGTGAGAAGTTATGAAACAATCAAGGGGTTTCTGGTCATGAACATATTAACTTGGATATTACATAGTTAAAAGGAGTTACTCGTATTTAAATACATGGTAGGAATTATTATTGATATTGTGAATACATTGATATCAATCAAGGTACCAGTACTTAGTATTGTATTTTGGAATTGGTAATTTGATCAAGTGGTCCTTGGTTGTTTTATCTGATTGCACTCACTATTGTAAGAAATCATATTGAGAAAATATACTTGTCATCATGTGTATTAGTACACCTTCTGGGATAGTGAGATTCTAGAAGAAATGATTATTGAGATGTGATTATTATAAGTTACAATGATTTTGACAAAGAACCCCAATATCAGCATTAAAACAGACTTGACAATTGACTCAGTGTGAAACTTGTTATATTTTGAAAATTTTTATTTCACTTATAAAATTGAAATAATTTAGTCCTTAATCTCAACGATGAAGTATGTATCCATATATACATTTTGGATAGAAGAGAAGGAGACATTCCGTCCATCAATTCAGCATTGTTTTTGTTGTTAATTTATGTGATATTTTTATTTATAAAATCATTATTTATTAGCAATATAATAAAATTTTAAATTATATGTCACAGTTAACTTTGTCCAGATTGAAGCCACAACAATGTCCAAATATAAGGTTGAATCATTGTGGACCATAATCTTAGTCAGATTGACACAGACTTCTAATAATATTTTTCTCATCAAGCAGGAGGGATCTAACATCACATTCCAGATCTGATTATGTTTCTATTTGTGATTATAGTAATAGAACAATCTAGTTATCTAAGGAGGATTTATTCTGGAAATATTTTGGACCAGCTGGTGCACAGACCTAATAGGAGAAAATATATTATGAAACTCCTGTTATTCTTAAATTTTGACATTTTTTCCAATTACCTTGCATAAATGTTGTATTGCTAGATATTAAAACCGGGTTTTGGCAAATATTTACAGGAATAACTTGGCTATTTGTTGCGTTGTCATTATTGTTTAATGGCACCACAGTATGTACCTTTCCCTTGTACTGATTGTTGCAAAAGAATAGAGTGTAAAACTCCATTTCATTTCTATACTGATTGATTGGAGCGTGGTGGAGTCGGCCAATTTGACAGGTTCGTAATAATATTATACACGTGTCAAATATTGAGACAGAGGTAATGAGATTGACTGGTATAGAATGAAGGTATTTGACATATTGTGAGTTACTGTAATCTAATAATGTCTAATTGTTGTGAATATCTCATTATTTATATGTCTTTTCTTAATCCAGTCTATATTCTTTATTCATTACTCTCTAGAATATATCTTTATATTATCTTGAATTGTATATTTCATATATATACCGTTTTGTGGGTTGAATTAACATTAACCTAACCGAGAAAACCTGATTGAACATTGTCATTCCGTTATACCACTGAACTGTAAACTGTTCTATAGTTATACTGAAGCTCCCATCATTCAGAGAAAATCAAAATTTTGGAGAAAAATGCTTTAAAGAAAGAAAGGAACAAAATAGTTAAGAATAATGACAACTGAAGGTACAACTGTCCAAATAAATTCCGACCAATTGGTCGATGAAATCTTTACAGACGAGTCTACAAAGGTCTGTTTATACTGAGCGCGACTACGACCGCGACCGCGCTCGCATTGGATTGCTTTAACCTGATTTTGTATGAGGTCGTTTATACTAGGAGAGAATGCGGCCGAATTTCAGTTCGCGCGGAAAACCGCGGAGATTGCCTCCAGAGCGAATTTTCGGAAAAGACCGCGCGAACTATTTACATTATCCATTAGCATTCGCTTTCGCCCCTAGTAAAAAGGACCCCATACAAAATCGGGTTAAGCAATCCAATGCGAACGCCGCGGTCGCGGTCGTAGTCGCGCTCAGTATAAACGGACCCTAAAGCCAGGTTTGGTTTGATTGTCATCATAATGTCAAAATGTTATTTATTAAATGACTATAGTGATAAGAACAAGAGTAAATTTTTGGTTTGTGTTTTGCTCCGTGCATGATAGCTCTCATGCAGTAAATCTCTTGTTGATTAATGGTGAGTTCTTTTTTATAGAAAATTATTCTTAGCTCTCTTATTAAACCTGTAAAAGAATTTCATTGATATTTTTATGAACCATTCTTTCATCTATGTTGTATTTTCAATCGAAATTCTAAATCAGGTACCAGTTCATAAAATTTTGTGGCATGCTGGCATCATGGTTTAATCATTTGAGGTCCGCACTGATAGGAGATCACAAAGGAAAAGGCTGTCAAAATTTATCTCATTGCACTCTAATATATACTCAGCTGTCTATCCTTCTGTCTTTTCTAACCGCATATTGTGTATTGTTGTGGTATATAATATTCCTGAAAGAATACACCTGTATAAAACATAAAGATGAAACAAATCCAGGATGAAATACAGTAGTTTGTAAGTACAAGTAACATGCACTAAGAAAGCTGTGAGATTTATATATTGAATATTTTACACCTAATCTACCAGGTAAGTTAAAGTAAATACTAAAACAACAGGTAATATGATCAGATAAATAAATAGACGGGGGATTTGTTATACATAGTTCAGTTTTTTAGTATACACACATCAGATAATGTAAGAACATTTACACTTGAATATGATCCAAGTTCATTCAAATCTCAATTAATGCTGGCAAAAGAAAAGAAACAATCAAAAACCTTATAATCTTGGGTTATCTAATTTTTTTCTTGAAATATTTTTAGCCATGTAGGACTATGTCTATGAATATAGTATTTGGCAGTTACGGTGTTACTACAATGCACTTCGTAGAATGTCGTGCAGTGTTGATCTTTGGACAGTTATCACCATCCGTGATTAACCGACGCTAAAAAAACTTCGTGACCAGTAACGGTGAAAATTTGTCGCACCAAACGAATGAGGAAAATTTTCTGATTTTATGCAAAGGATTCTCGAAAGATATTGTTGTCCACTCGATTCTATTAAGACACTTGTCTCGATGTCTCTGACTGGTTTTAAAAAGCCTTGCTGATCGAATTTATGGTTGAATGTATTCAGGGCAACTATAATTTGTAGATAGTCATGTAGTCCTGATCTTTGGACAGTTGTCATCATTCGTGACTAACCTACTCTAAACAAATTTCGGTGATCTGTAGCATTCTTGTTTTTTCATAGATGACTTCAATCGCTATTCAGATACTTCTGATTGCGTGCTTCACAATGTTAGAGGCTGTATACATTTAGTAACTTTATATCCATTATGAATAACTGAATTATCCTGAGAGAAAAAAAACAGACAGGCAAATATTCTTGAATTAGAAATATAATTTTTTTTTTGACTACATAATACACCCACATGCTAAATGGTATAGGGGCACGAAATATTTGTGGTTTTGCTATTATCACTTATTTACGGTTATACATTTCGTCTGTTGTATCAAACGATTGAGAAAAATGTTCCAATTTTAAGCAAAGTGATTCTCAAAAGATGATGTCCAGCCAACCTTATTACAATTGTATTGATATCTCACTATAAGAAAATATTACTGACCAAATTACCTTTCTGTGATCAAATCAATTGAAGGCTCTAGGATTAATTTTGATGTGTAATCTGCAAAGCGTCTATTTTTTCGGTTAAAATATAGTTGCATACAAGTGTACGACATAGCACGAGTCTTGCCTTAATTTAATATTCTATTGTTGTTTTACGACCTGTGATAACATTCTTAATATTTTCTTAGATTTCAATCAAAACTGACAACAATTGGATGGAAGCAGATGTCTACAGGAGACGGCACGCGCTCCCTGAAATTGTAACTAAACGGCTAATACAAACTTAAATGTAGCACGAAATTGTCTTTGGTATTGTACGAGAATAAAATTCCATCACTCATTCAAGATACCGAGAAATCACCATTAGTTACTGATTTCTTTTAGTCCTATGTTATAGTATCTAGTAAGAGTGGTAATTTAGTTTACTAAAAAAAAAAATACTTCATTACGGATTATATCTACAGATTATTTCACTGTTGTCTTCAGCTTATAATCATTCATTATGAGCATCTCGACAACCATGGCAGCATCAGCACCACGCCCAAGGAAGGAATCACGCACATCAACACAGAGTCCTAGAAATTGGGCACCAAGTTCTCGACAAGCTTCGGGTTCTGAAGAAGAAATTGCTAACAGGTAAGATATTGGTTGCTCTTTTTATCTTTTTTTTTGTCACACATTTCTCTTCCTTTAATTGAGAAATCATGATTTTTAAGCATGGTGTGTGTTTAAGCTGGTCGGTAGTTTATCTGAGGTTGTTCTAACGTTTTCGAAAATACTAAATTCCAATATTAGGACTTGACGCGGAAGCCAAAAAAGCCAGCATGCTAGCATATTATTCGAATTGTTCGTAGTGCGAACGTAATAATACCTTTATTATTCGAATATCTTAATACACACTAAGATCGCGTTCCCTCCAATCAATATTGTGTTTTTGGACAGCAACTGGGGTAATTTTAGTGTAAACAATGGTATTTTTCGGGTTCAATGACATTAATGATATGTCTATTCGTA